ATTGTTGAAATAGGAGCAGCCGCACAAGCAAGTTTAAAATGTTATCCTTTGAAATTAGGGAAGTCTGCTTATTTTTAGCTTGTTAGATGCTGTTAGCTTCCTGTATAAACGCGGTTACATAACAGGCATAATCCTCATGGCAGCGGGGGCCATACGTGCCAAGCGATAAGGTTACACAGCTGCCTGGGAGCTTGCTCCCACCGGGTGGAAAACAAAGCTTCGCGCCCCTCGGAACTGTTCTGCTGCTTCTGGGTCAAACTTACAGACACACGTGTTACAGCACACACTCACTTGCTCATTCATATACATATGTAGGTATGTATGTATACTAACATACATCCCCTTGCTTTCTTACTGCACCTTAAACAAGGTATTCCTTAGATCAGAAAATACTATCTTGACATTACTCTGGTGACTTTGAAGAAGGGTGTGTTGTTAAGTATTAAAAGCAGCAAAGTTAAATCTCAAAACGCACGTTTACTTGGGGAAGCTACCGCAGGCGTTCTCCCCTCTGTTCTAATGTGACCTCTACCTGCTCCTTACTGCTGCGTGCTGTGGTATGTGGGAAGCACGTGCTGCCGCTGCTGAACAAGAGCAACTTACAGGCTTTATTCTCATTAAGCACTACGTGACATCATTGGTTTTCCTCGGGTTTTTTTTGAAGGATTGGACTTCTGTCTCTGAGAAGCTGTGTTGTTCCCAGCCTGTATCGTTCTTCGAAGTGTACAGAATTATCGTTCCCGACTTATTTTTAGAGTAAGCTGTGTTTGCAAACACTCCCACTCTTCGCGTCTGGCCCAGATTGACAGGAAAATACTTTTCCTGAAATGTAAACAAAACAAAAAAAAAGTAGTTGCGACTGCCACAGCGTCTTGACCGTATCAAAGTTTCTTTGGCAAAGTCTTTCATAGGTCTTCTTATTACGCGTGATGTGCATTTGTAATTCGCTATCTACAACAAATGCTTTCAGTGCAAAACTGCAGCAATTTTTAATTTAAGCAACATTTTTTAATTATTTTAGCAGTTTTTAACAGATGAGAACTGCCTTGCTCATCTTTCTTTTACTTTAAGATTGAGTGGCTGAAGGCGACTTCAGAAAAGATGTTAAATACTGAGTTTCTGAGTTGTGCCACTCCAGGCGAGGTTTGTCCACCCTGCCTTTGGCATCGGGTGAGACACTGAGGTCTGGGCTAGTCACCACAAGGAGCCATTAGCTTTGGGGGAGCCCAGCATGTCAGTTCTCCCCTTCCTGGGCCAGATATGCCACCCACTGTCCCCCACGGAGTGGGGCAGAGGCTGCCAGGTGCTTCCTTCCCCCTGCATCACAGACCCCAGGGGGTACGGGTTGGGTGAGCCACTGCCCGTGCTGCCAGCTACTCACCAAGCTGCTTACTCACGATGTGTTGGTGGCTTCAGTGGCAATACTCAGGGCTTTGCTACCACTACCCTGTGGGTTTTGCCCACTTCCTTAGCCCTGGCTCAGCTGTGTGAGCAGCACAATGTGAGTCAGATAGGGGAATTAATCTGGCTTTAAGAAGAAAGCATCAGGGGGAGGCACCTTTGTTTTTTAACAAGGGAACTCTTGATGTGGACGGTTTCCCAATCCAGGTCAGTGCAAGGGCACCGAAACTGCCGTGCCACCACAAGCAGGGGACAGCACATCGCGATACAGTGATGGGAGTAAGGGAGAAGGTTAGGAGTAGGAAGAAGATGCCATTGGCACCTGAAGCTGGTCAAACTGGGACTGCAGCCCCCCACCCTTACCTGTCAGACTGAAGTAGAACTGAGTCCCACCCTTTCCATACATTCATGAGTTCCTCAGAACATATATTTTATGAAGCAACACCCAGAAGTAGTGGGAGAGAAAATGAACACATTTCCCCAAATTTCAAAGTTTTTGAATGCAAATTCAGCAAATCTGACAAAAGCCGGAAGCCTGTCAGTCATGTTTCTGTTGGTATTGTTTATCCTCTGATGAGAAGCAGAGGATTAGAGGACTCTACAGCTCAGCATTTGGGAAGAGTAAAGATATGGGGTCTGAGTCCATTATCAGCTTGAAGCTGAGGTGGTACAGATGAAATGTACCGCCCTGGATGTCTTCAAGGCCTGGATGTCTCCAAGGCCAGGCTGGATGAGGCGTTGAGCAATGTGGTCTAGTGGAAGGTGTCCCTGCCCATGGCAGGGGGGTTGGAACTAGATGATCTTTAAGGTCCCTTCCAACCCAAACCATTCTGTGATTCTGTGAAATACAAGAAAATCTCATTCCTATTACCTCCAGAAACCAGTGCCCACTTCCCAGGTTCAGCCGTGCTTTAAGAGCTGGTTCTAGCTAAAGGACATCATTGTAAAGGTTATAGCGCAGTTCTCTGCTGCCTTGGACTCTCCCTCCTCCAAACAATTCTAACACAGATAGAAACTGGATCATGTCTCTCCAAAGAGCAGACCATACCAGAATAAAAACTTTTAAAAATTATGTGTAGCAGAATGATCAGGCAAGACCTACAACAATATTTACTAGGCTGTAACGAAAAATGAACTTTGCAAAGCTTTCTCTATTTGCTCTTTATTATGTGTACTACAGTAGAATCTGGAGTTTGACTTGATCCAAAGTACCATCAAAGACAGAAGTGCACTTATAAAGAAAAACATTTTCAAGACTGCAACTGTATGATATTGTTTGGGAGGATTAATGAAGTAGGGGGGGGG